AACAAATCCATCAGTATTCAGAGTGGACACCCGCAAATTTGCGATAGACTGCTCCACCTTGGCTTCACAATCCAGCGGGGTCTTTGAAGCCAAACAGAAGCGTATCAGCAACACCGACGCGATTGGATCAATCCGGCCACAAACGCTTACCCTATTTGGCGTGAGAATCGTCACAACGTCTATTGTGACTTGCCTCGTGTTAAAATGACCTCCCATGCTGTGCTCGCCTTGTGCCCTTTTGGGTCATCTTCTTGCCTGTCCGTCTTCGCACGCCTCTCCGCGAGTGATGGCGGGCCTATCCGTATCAAAATTTATTTTCAGTCAGTCGCGAACTCAGCGATGCTGCTTCGTTTGAGATGGGGATATCACGCCTAGCGTCAGACGATGGCTTCGACCAACCTAGCCAATCCTGCAGAGGAGCATATCGTAGTGGCAGAGTTCTCAGTCAGCATGTCCATGCGTGCCCGGTGACCGGCTTTGCTTCCAATGTGATATCATACCAGTGTTCCCGTTTGGTGACCACAAGGCTGTCCATGGGGTCTGGGTACGATTTGAGCGCCAGGTTGCTAGGCATACGCAAGCAGGGAGGTTCCCGCAGTCATCTGAGAGTCCGGGCACGTCCTGAGCTCACCCTGCTCGTCGAAGCAACTCGCCATGCTCTTGAGACCGCAGAGCGAGGACGTCTTCTACCATCCGACGCGAAGACGGTTAGAAAGTCAACAGCGGCTTGAAAAATCGCGGATCGCTGGGCGGCATGCCGCCGGGAGTATCTCTGCGATACGACCTGACCGATGGTCGCATACGTCTTCTGGCCGCCTCCGTGCAGCACATTATGGTCAATTGCATCGAGAGAGCAATACGCCCTAGATCTGCCCAACGGGCTACCTGCTAGGCAGGTCCTGTTGGTCTTGATCAGAGATGTGTTCAATATCACCAAGGACACTCGCCTGACTTACCACAATGCTCGCATCATCGGATCTGCTGCATAGCGCAACTTGACCTCAGGAATCAAGAACAATACTGTACCGCCTCCGCGTGCATGCGAGAATGTGCAAGGCTGACGTGTCATCTGGCAAGGTGAGTCGTGCTATGGTCTTCACTGCTGTGAGGTGCTTGTCGTTCTCTTCCAATACTTTGCAGATGCTGCGTGGCGGCCATTCTCAATTCTACAGCCACGCCTCTGGGCTCAGCCGCTGATGTGGCGCTGCTCCGCGATCGCCCTCTTTGGCCTTGTTGTCCAAAGGCCTCTATCTCACTGCCTTATATAGCCGCCGATTCACCGCCAAGTGACGTCACCGCCCATTCTTCGCGCTCAATGCCATATCTCAAACGTCGAACCTCAGCATCGATATCATACTACTAATGATTGCAAGAACAGTGCACAGCCATCAAACCCTCAGCCCTCAAATCTCACCCAGCCACTCCTCGACCTCACCCCACACCTTCGCCCGCACCCGCTCATCCCACCACCCCATCATCAGCACGTCGTGCACACCGTCCTCTACCCAAATTGTCCGCACATCCACCCCATCGCGCTCCATCCCGCTAACCAGCTTCATCACCTCCCGCTCTAGCCGCTCTGCGTCCCCCAGCACGATGCACGCACGCGGGAACTCGCTGAACAGACTCAGCCCCCGTGGCGACGATATCTGCGGCCGCGCCAGGCTCGTAGGGCTCGGCTTCAGTCCGTTCACCTCGCCATTCATAGACGGTTCCAATGGTGTCTCGGGCCCAATGGCGGGCGTCCCAGGCACCGATGCCATCTCCCGCAGGCGCTTCCGCGCTGCCGTTCCATCTGTTTGATTGTCAGGGTCCTGCACGCTATGTGCGAACGCATCGCCGTAGTATGCACGCAGCACGCGCATCGACGCCGGGCTGACGTATGGACTGCGCATCGTCTCCAGCGGATTATGCCCGAGGAATGTCCGCTAGAGGCTCGGGCATGTCGACGAGATAGTACCCTGTCTTCCCATTCACTCCTGGAATGATCCAGGCTGTATAATGTGTGTGCTGCATGCGCGGTGAATCAGGCATCCATCAACGACGAAACGCATACACGCATCACAGGACAGAGAGCGCAGAAGGCCGCCCGGAGGTGGTAGCACACTCGCTCCGATCCACCGTGCCAGCACAAGCACCAAGTGCAGCCCATGCTGTCGCCCGACAGGATGATGTTCCTGCGCTGCACGCGCGGCGCGCTGTTCGACTTCTCCATTGCTCCTTTCGGACCCAGCTCCATCCAAGTTGTAAACGCGAGACGTCACATTCACCTGATACCTGTCACATGCAGCGGGCGGCGAGTCGGTCACAGTGACCGAAGTGCTCTTGGCTAGGCCGGATCGCGATTGACATACCACCAAATGTACGCCACAGCCGGATTGATTGCTACGCCAGGTGCGAGAATAATTTTGTGGATGAGTTTGGGGTGTACACCGAATATAGCCGAACAATATATTGCTATATCCCGAGCGAAGTAGGCAAAGTGAGTATAGTTCGTTACAGATTATGGAGGCAACGGCGACTGAACATCTCGGACGACCTGTCCAATTTACTTGCACAGTCATAAAGACGTTGTCATGTCTGTAAAAACGTACCTTGACGTCCCATCGCGCGTGTCATGCTCGTGGCTTAGGCTTTAGATATGAAGGATATGCTGTATCGACAGATACAATTACACCACTCATGTTCGCGCACATGGAGACAGCTGGTATTTTCCATGTATAACGCTTCATTTGAATCGGTGAGCTAACAATTGCAATTAGGTAGACGCTGTCGAGATGGTCTGGGGCTGAGATCAAGCTCTGCCGGGTCGAATTACGCATACAGTCAACAGTATCTACGCCCCTTCAAGAAATGAAGAAAGCACATTAGTATCTGAACGATTGAAAATTGCCGCAGTGCACCGCGCCGAGTAAGCGGTTAGGTCGTTTATGTAGCGCATTCACGGCTGAACCGTATTGACCGAGAGAAGCGCGGAAAGTAAAGAAGACCAGACCATGACGAGTGGAAATGATCGGCAAGGAAGAAGACCCCTTGATCGCGTCTAAATGTAAGTATCGACGCTAGGTATGGTACTGAAGCAGGGATGTAATGACTCTATTGATGCATTGTCTTAGATGTCGTACGAGTCTAAGGCATGGCATCCCTATTGGAAAGTATACATCATCCCGGTACGGCTTCAGCCGCAGGTAGTCACCATGCATGGGGATCTGACCGACTAGAAGCAAAGCGAGGAATGCGAAAACAAACGAATGGTGAAGCTTAACCATTAGCCAGGCTGACGCCATAGCACAATCCGACAGAAGATAATATTGGACCACTGGCAGATATCGGCTTTGATATCGAGGACGACATGGACGTTGACGTCCTCAAGGTATGCGTACTTGAGCTCCTTTTCCAGTAAAAGATAATCTCCTTCGCCCTACACAGTTCTATATTATGCAAGTGTTATACAGACTAGCGTGAAAGCCGTGCAAAACATTCAAGCTACAATTGAGCGGCGCAAGCGACGACGCACCTCGCAGGCCAGACGAGCCAAGAGAGGCTTCCCCAGTTCCTTTACATCCATCACCGCTAGTTCCGTTATCAATGTAAGGATAGTTGTATGCTGTATGTGTACACACGCATATAAGCCATTTAGGACACTAACGCGCCTCTAGTTCTACTTCAGAAATTACATTAAATGGTTTCCAAGGCCAATTCCTCACGCGCGCCGCTTTCGGACTGGAACTATTCTTCCTACTCTCAATTCGATATGGGTATCGCGTACATCGCCAGACCCCTCTATCTGCATCGGACATCCTACACGGCTTTGGGTGGTATAATAGCCTACGTTTCAAAGCCTCGGGTACACGGAAATGCTCGCCAGCCACATGATATCTATCATGGACGACCACTACCCTCAGCATGTTTCTCGAGACGGTTCGGCGCTCGAGCGTGTAAAAATGCTGGGTCCTGTTTGTTCGCCGCAATCGTCAATTTGTTCGTGTGCCAAGATCACTACTTGACGCCAGGAAGACCACCCATTCAGTGGACTCGTCCGAAATGATCGTCGCACGGCATGTCCTCAACCATATTATAGTGATCCCCTTCTGTTTTGTACTCTCAGACGTGTCATGGCCACTCATCCATACGCAACCATACTTTCGTGCATATATATACCTGCCCACGCGCCAAACGGCTGTCCAAGTGTGGGCGTGACGTAGCGGGAAGTCACGATCTATCACACTCTGTCACTGTGTGACGCGACCTCAAGGCCGGCAAGCTAACTGCCATTTTCTTCGACAACGACAACGACTACACCAGCACCAGCGACCACAACCCACACCACACAACGGAGACAACCAGCCACACCTGAGGTTGCTCTCTAGAATATTTCCATAACCCGTCAGCTGTTCTCGTCCGGAAATACTCTGCTCTCACAGAACATCACCGAGACCGCGCAAAATCACCCAACGCCTACTCATCCCAATCCGACACTTCTTCATCATTCATGGCCCAACAACAGCAAGCACGTCCCTCCTCCTCCACTGCGTAAGTCTGTTCCATTGAAGACTCAAATCTTGCCGCCACTCATACGACACGTATAGCAACAGCGACGCATGGAAATCCGGCCTGCGGCCACCACCTAAAGATGACCGCCCGCAGACTGAAGATGTCACAGCGACAAGGGGCCTTGAGTTCGATGAGATGTTCCTCCGCCGCGAGCTCCTCATGGGTATTTATGAAGCTGGGTTCGAGAAACCCTCGCCCATACAGGAGGAAGCTATTCCCATTGCCCTCACCAAACGCGACGTCCTTGCCCGCGCAAAGAACGGTACAGGCAAGACCGCAGCATTCGTCATCCCTTCTCTCCAACAAGTAGACATTACCAAGAATAAGATTCAGGCCCTCCTCCTCGTGCCCACTCGTGAGCTCGCGCTGCAGACGTCCCAAGTATGCAAAATCCTCGGAAAGCATATGGGCGTTCAGGTCATGGTCACGACCGGTGGCACCACTCTCAAAGACGACATCATTCGTCTATCGGAGACTGTACATGTTCTTGTCGGCACGCCTGGCCGTATACTGGATCTCGCGGGCAAAAACGTCGCGGACCTCAGCGAATGCCCTGTCTTCGTCATGGATGAGGCTGATAAGCTGCTGTCGCCCGAGTTTGCCCCCGTCATGGAGCAACTACTCTCATATTTGCCAAAGGACCGTCAGGTCATGCTGTTCAGTGCCACGTTTCCCCTAATTGTGAAGGACTTCAAGGTCAGTATTCTTGTTCAAACCGCGTTGCTGGTCAATCTCATTCCCTATGAAGGACAAGCACATGAAATCACCCTATGAGATCAACCTAATGGACGAACTCACCCTGCGTGGTGTCACCCAATATTACGCCTATGTCGAAGAACGACAGAAGGTGCACTGTCTCAATACACTGTTCTCTAAGGTGTGACACGCCCTTTAGTTTGTGAAGCGCTTGCTGATCTCTTCCCACAGCTGCAAATCAACCAGTCGATCATCTTCTGTAATTCCACGAATCGTGTCGAGCTGCTCGCGAAGAAAGTGACCGAACTTGGCTACTCATGTTTTTACTCACACGCCAAGATGCTACAGTCGCATCGTAACCGCGTCTTCCACGACTTCCGTAACGGCGTTTGCCGCAACCTTGTATGCTCGGACCTCCTCACGCGTGGTATCGATATCCAGGCCGTCAACGTCGTCATCAACTTCGACTTTCCCAAGAACTCCGAGACCTACCTCCACCGTATCGGCCGTTCAGGGCGTTTCGGTCACTTGGGTCTTGCGATCAATCTCGTGACATACGAGGATCGTTTCAACTTGTACAAGATTGAGCAGGAACTCGGCACGGAGATCCAGCCAATCCCGCAGTACATTGACAAGGGTTTGTACGTCGCGCCTGGTGCGACTGAGGAGGCTCCGGAACAGCCGCAGCCGCAGCAGAAGCCACGAGCCAACCAGGCGCAGCCTCAACAGCCGCGTCAATCCGCTCCTCAGTCTCAGCCAGTACCAGGGCAAGTGGTGTACTCTAGCGCTCCTCAACAAGCACGGGTCAATGGCAATGGGACCGCCGTTCCTCAGGCCCAGCAACCGCCACGAGCGGCGTACAACGGCCAGGCAGCGTATCGTGGTGGTGTCCCTGTCGCGCGATGAGCATCGCTAGTGCCACCCGGCTGGCCTCTTGTCACGCTTCAGTCCGGAGACTCTGTACTGTGCCAAGACGTGAGGGGTTTTGCGTAGGACCGAGGAGGGGAGGGGTGCGGAGGCGGAGGAGTGTGTCGGTGAAGACCAACCTGGCGAACCCGAATTCTATCCACGGCGAACATGCGGCTTACGGCATCTGAAGGAGCTTCTGTATCATAAATGGCTTTCATGTCTGGAACCCTCGCATTCTGGCACACATCATACCAGCCGGCCAGTCGCAGCTATTCTCGCCGGCTCTGTCTGACTAGTCTATCTATCGTATAAGGTCACGCCGTTTACTTTCGTCGCTATTCTCCCTATTGTCAGCTCCTTCGCGTCGCCGTAGCCTAGTGCCTTGTCGTGAATAGAATGAGGTGTTCGTGGTTGGTCTAAGACGCTGTCATGATTTTACAGTAGAAGTTGGCCGCCCGTCTCGAGGCCTCCTTGCTTGCCGGCTCGCCTGTCCTTGCTGCTTAGCGAGATGCTGGAAAAGAGGTATTGCGTAGATAGTCGGATCAAAGACCCAGTGCTTCCCTGCAGCATTCGAAGCCAGTCTATAGGATTGCGCTGCCAATCGAAGTTGGTGCTTCTTCAAGCTTCAAGTCCTCTTGTCGCAATGTGAAAGTCATCTCATTCCCGTTCCGTAGCTTGTTCAATGTGCAGTGATACCGATATCATTATCGATTCTTCGCATCCTCAAGTGCTTTGGATAACGACATAACTAATTCAGAAGAAGTTCATTGAATTGAGCGGGAAGGTGGCGAGTAGGGGTGCTCAATCCTTGTCGCTCGCTCGTTCGTTCGCGGGGCGCCCGCCTGTTTTAGTAAGTGATTCTAACCCCGACTGATCCCTCAGCCACCCGCGATCGAGCGACGCGGCGAGCTCCAATCGCAAGTCTCATGGTTACTCACGAGCATGTAAATACTACTTAATACAGCCAATGATGCGGCTTTGTACAAGAGTCTAAGGTATCCAAGGAATGACCTAGATAACTGTGACTGCCTGCAATTGCAACATATGAGCTGATTGTAGTACATTCTTGAAGCTTAAAGTGAAGACTGTTTCTCTAGAATACATCTGTGTCGGATTCTGACTTCCCTGAGAACACTTGACGTCCGCGGTCGCGATCCGCACTCCCTGTGTCAATCCGAAACCGTAGCTCATTCTCTGTCTACCTCCACGTGATACCTACTCTACATACTTATACCTCGCTCTCCCGCACCCCACTTCTCTCCTCAGTCATTGTACCATCTACGGCTAAGGTATGTTCATCTCGCCCCCCCCCCTCCGTATTGATTCGAAGTTGTAGACTTACTCGATTCGCGTCGATGGCGGGCGCCTGAGGGATCAGTCGGGGCTGGAAATACTGATCACCATCAAAGACCGCGATCACGCGCGGCTGAGCCTTCGATGGCTCTCTAACCGACAACCCACCGATGGACTCATAGCTGCTGCCTCTTACCGTCTATAACCCGTCTCCGGTCCTCCTAGCCTCGCAGGGAACGAGTATTCCGAGTGCTGCGCCCGATGCCGCGAGGGGATTACGCACGTCTGCCGCTGTACGCTTTCTCAGAGTCAACCCCGAGACAACGCTCATCATCCGAAGGTCGAGCATTCTCGCCCCTGGATACCTTTCCTTCAGATGGACCCGACGTCCCGCCTCACTGGCGGCGCCGATGGGTCGCCCTGCGGCACACGCTCCTCCGGACGCGGCTCCTCATAACCCTCGTCAAGATCTTCGTTCCGTCCGCCATCCTGCTCGTTCTCGGCGGCCTGCTCGTGTGGGAGCCCCACATCGAGCTCGCGTTCTACTCGCGCGACTGGATCCAGTCCGAGATCGAGCCCATCCTCCCGCTCGCGGGCTGCTTCGACCCCGCCCGCGTCTCCCCGCGGTACAACGTCAGCGACGCGCTGTACGGCCCGAAGCGCACGGAAGTGCACGCGGGGCTGCCCCTGCGCCTCGGCATGGACTGCTACGACTTTGCAGGGACGATCGCGGGCGGGGCCGCGCCCGAGCCCGACGGCGCGCGGACGCACTATCACACCTACTGGCGCACGGACCTCGCGCCGTTCGGCGAGCGGCAGGAGTGGATGCTCAAGTCGTTCTTCGCGACGCAGGACACGGACGCCGCGCGCCTCGTCCTCTGGTCGAACGGCGACCTCTCCGGCAACGCGATCCTCGCCAAGTGGCGGCGGCGCTACCCGGGAGCGTTCGAGCTGCGTGTGGTGGACTACGACGCGCTCGCGCAGGGCACGGAGCTGGAGGGCAGCGAGCTCCTGCGCGTGAAGGACGCGCGCGCGTGGATCGACGGCGACCTCGTGCGGCTGCTCGTGCTGTGGGCGTACGGCGGGGTGTGGGTCGACATGGACTCGCTGCTCACGCGGGACCTCGCGCCGCTGCTCGAGCACGAGTTCGTCACGCAGTGGGACTGCTACGGTACGCCGCTTTCATCTGCTATGTGCGCCGCCGCTCACGAGACCCGGACGCACAGATAAGCTGTACGTGCCGTTCAACGGCGCGCTGATGCGCTTCCGGCAGCACTCGCCGTACCTGTGCGAGGCGTTCCACGTCATGCTGACCTCGCAGGCGCCGCGCAAGGGCACGACGGACTGGGGCGCGACGCTGTACCTCAAGCTGTGGCGGCGGCTCGTCGCGGCGTCCGTGCCGCCGTTCAAGGTACTCCCGTTCTGCTTCTCGGACGCGCGCTCATGCCGGCTGGACAACCGCCTGCCGGACCCGTTCGCGGCGGACCCGAAGAACGGGCAGTGGACGCTGGGCCAGGGCCGCGAGGAGGGCGGCGGGCTCGACAAGGCGCTCGGGCGCGTGTTCTCAGTGCACCTGCATAACCAGTGGGAGAAGGCGTTCCCGCCAGGTGGTTGGGTAGACCGCCTGCTGCTCAGGAGGTACGAGCAGAAGCTTGAGTATAAGAGGACCGACGGGGATCTATAGACGGGTATCGAGATGGAAAGTACATTACGCTGCTACGTATTACGGACTTTTGGACGCCGTCGATTATAATTTTGTGGTTTTCACGAGAGCTGCCGACGACCCCTGCTGGGAATACGAATATCTCCACGACGGCACAGCGCATTGTCTTACCTCGTCCTGCTTTCGACACCACCCGCCGTGTCGCAGGTCCTGGCGTCAGGATTGTCTGACCATGTGAAATTCGTGGTCTCCGTTGCCCTCATTCGATGCAGGCACGGAACTACTCCTACTGGTGATCCACAGCTCGACGACTCGATGCCGGCTGCTCCTGGAGCTGTACTTGTACTTTGGAGGGCACGATACGCCTCCGGTGCACCCTGAGGTCCTACAAGGTCATCCACGTTACGCACTTGACATCATCTCTTGACCGGAATTCCTCGTCTCTTGCCACAGATCGTGCTTTCCCTGAGCGTTCGTTTATACTAGTGGCTCGTACCAACTTATTCTTCCGCCTTCAGTCATCACTTTGAACCTATAGGTCTCACGCACTTGCATCTCCGCATTGCACACGATGAGACTACTCAGCAATCCTCTCGGAGTTGTTCTGGGTTCGCAGCGATGGTTTTACTTTTGAGACAACGTGAAGGGACCAGTGAATCAAGCACGAGATTGGCTGTAGCCTGTCGAGCCCCGCCACAGGGCGTCTGACATGCTTCCGACAGCAATTTCCCAAGCGGGAATGGTTCTGCGCTCGGTGACGGGAAATCGTGATGATTTTCATACTAGGCCTGCGATCAAGGAAATACACTGAACCGACATTGGGATATTTGTCAGCGTTTCACCGGCGCAACATCTTTGTGAAAACCACAATGTGAACAATGTCCGCTCGTGCAGACAATGTGAGACAAATGGATTCATGGAACAGGCTACAATTCGGGCATGCGACGAACGACCTTGCCTTCGTTCTTGACGTGCACGCGCAACTTCTCTAGCAGCGGCGAGCTGGCCCACCGTTCGGGCGGAGTCCTCTTGTTGGTTGCCCAGTAGTAGATATCCCAGTCAGGCTCGTCCATGAGCTGGGGTGCCAGGCAGGCCATGAGCATGCAGGCGCAGGGAGGGTCTCAGAGGGGCGCCACCTTGTCAAACTCCTTCAACTCCGCCTCATCCATCACGCCGAGCTGCTCCTTTGCGAACGTGCTGAGCAGCAGGTCGCTCTCGAGGGTGCCCCGCTTGCGCGACTGGTACACGAGCCTGGCGCGCATGGTCTCTACGCTCTCGCCGGGACGAGGAAGGGGTGCAGGCGGAGGGGGCGCATCGGCGGGAGTGGTCGTGTTTGCGAGGTGCTCGGGGGTGTTCGGGAGGAGCCACGGGTCTGCTGCGCGGCGTGGCGAGGTGGACATGAGACGTCGGAGCAGGGCGCGGCGGCAGAGCGGGAGGGCGGAGGACATGGTGGACAAGACGGTCGGGACAGAGCAGCCCGACCAGAGACCGACGGTCGCGGTGTGATTGACTCACGTGCGCGCGGCCGCGATGCAGGAGGTGACGTCACGCGGAGCGTCGAAGGGGATGCGCGTGAAGGCAAGTGGCCCCCTCCGCACTCACGATGTCAATACACCGTCTCCCTCGAGTCTCCGCCCATATCCCCTCTCCTCCTTCTCTAACATGTCTCGCGAAGAATTCAGATACCAGCAGTCTTTGCCGTTCGCGCGGCAGCCTCTCAAGGCCATCTATGTCGTCCAGCGCATGGTCACGACGCTCCTCATGGTGCCCTTCTGGGTCCTCTTATACGCCGTCCTACCAAGAAGCTTCCGCCCTCGCCGTTCTTGGTCCATAAAGCAGATTGTCGCCGTCAACTTTACCCGACGCATATACAAGGTCACCGAGCGCGCCGGCGTCACCTGGGGCACGCGCGACCCGGAGGAGGCGTGTGATAACCGTGCGCTCAAGGAGACTCGGTTCGAGTGGGTGGACCCGCTGCCGGAGCGTTTGCGCACTGGCATTGTGGCGGACGGACAGGTGCCGTTCAAGCGGGTAGGCGTGTTCGTTTGGCCAAAGGATGGATCTGAAGGTATGTTGATTGCTACGACTCTTCTACATGAGTTGCCCCTTGGACGTTTCGTCGCTCTGAGTTGACACCTCGATTCTCATAACGCGGCAAGATAGCAGCGTATTATTGTGAGCGGAGATTGCACCCGACTATCGACTGTCTGGCATCCCTCACGGCGCGTTCTTGTCAAGGCGGCCAGGTTGTGCCTGTGCATCATGAGAATGCCTGGTGTCATGTGTGTTTTCTATGATCCAGAAGTTCTGGGGAAAGCGCCTCAGGTCTGACGTGATGCGGGCTTTGTGAGGTCAAGGGCACGGAGCCTTACACAATCTTACGCACCGCAGAGCGGGACCGAATATATTCGCTCGTACTTGCTCGGGGTCCAAGCATGAATACTCCTCTCTTGGTCTGTGGACGCGTGGGTCTTGTCTAAAGTCTTGTGGTGGCTTAGTCCGCGGACCGGGAAGGATCGTCGCTATGAGGTTGTAATCGTGGAGAAGAGTTCTAAGACGCGTCTACGCTTCCCTGACGGCCATTACTTATATGCCCTTGGTGAGGCTCGGAGAGAACGTGGCTGGCTAGGAACTGGTACTCGACAAGTCAGCAGCGTGGTCGGTCTGCTGGCATATGTGTAAATCGGGCTGCTTTGTGTCTTAACCAGTGCCGAACAAACTTGAACGTATTCTTGTATCTAGGCAGCATACAGCGCAAGGAGTCTGGCATTGCGCTAACGTCTCCATCCGATGTAGAGGCGCGCGCCGGTAACGAACCCCTTATCGGCATTTTCCTGCACGGCGGGGGCTACTGCCACATGTCAGCGCACGAGAGCTCGTCGACGTCCAAGATACCCCGTCAGCTAATCAAGGTGCTTCTCTTGCGGCAATGAGCTACAATTCTTCTGACGAACGACTTCCTTGATGTAGGACAAAGCCTTCGATCAGATATACGGTGCGTCCTGTCCACCGGTGCGTACGACTTGTGGACGCTAATGCCAGATCGTTCATAGCCGTGGAGTATCGCCTCCTGCAACACGCACCATTCCCCGCAGCCGTGCAAGACGCAGCGGCAGTGTATGCGCACATTGTTCGCCAGCATCAGCGCCCGCCGACGAATGTAACGCCGGACTCGGACAGCTCCCAGATCCCACACAGTACATCAAGTGGAACGGCGCCGGAGTCGGACCAGCTGCCCACGATCTACAAGCCGGATGAAGCCGGACATGAGGGAAGCAGTGGAGCAATCAAGCAACGAGTCGCGCGTGCGACGCAGAGCAAGCAGTGCAAGGTCGTTCTGATAGGCGACAGCGCGGGCGGGAACTTGGTGCTCGCGCTAGCGCGGTGGATCAGAGACGAGGGCGTGCTGCCCCCTCCGGATGGGCTTCTTCTGCTCTCTCCGTCCTGTGATCCATGTACGCATTCCGCAGTCGAAAAGGACGGATCCCCCGCTGACAGAGCGCGCAGCACATGCTTTCCCAGAATCGCCTTCGTCTTATATCCCGCGACCGCACGGGAGCACAGACTACCTCGTCGACACGCCCGAGCCTCGGGCGCTGCTCCAGCGGACATTCCTCGGGCATAATCCACTCGAGACGATGCACAGCCCATACGTCAGCCCGGCGTCGATGCGCGTGCTGCGTGCATACTATGGCGATGCGTTCGCACATAGCGTGCAGGACCTGACGATCGAGCAGATGGACACGGCAGCGCGGAAGCGCCTGCGGGAGATGACATCGGTGCCCGGGACGCCCGCCAATCAGCCCGAGACACCATTCGAGCCGTCTACGAATGGCGAGGTGAACGGACTGAAGCCGAGCCCCACGAGCCTGGCGCTGCCGCAGATATCGTCGCCACGGGGACTGAGTCTGTTCAGCGAGTTCCCGCGTGCGTGCATCGTGCTGGGGGACGCAGAGCGGCTAGAGAGGGAGGTGATGAAGCTGGTTAGCGGGATGGAGCGCGATGGGGTGGATGTGCGGACAATTTGGGTAGAGGACGGTGTGCACGACGTGCTGATGATGGGGTGGTGGGATGAGCAGGTGCGGGCGAAGGTGTGGGGTGAGGTCGAGGATTGGCTGGGTGAGAATTTGAGGCCTTGAGGGCTCAGAATTGAAGGGCTGTGCACTTTTCTTGCATGATAGTCGTATGTTATCGATGCTGAGATTCGACGTTTGGAACATAGCACCGGGGGCGAAGAATGGGCGGTGACGTCACTTGGCGGTGAGTCGGCGGCTATATAAGGCAGTGAGATAGAGGCCTTTGGACAACAAGGCCAAAGAGGGCGATCAGCGAGCAGTGCCACACCAGCGGCTGAACCCAGAGTAGAAATGAGAATGGCCGCCACGCAGCATCTGCAAAGTATTGGAAGAGAACGACAAGCACCTCACAGCAGTGAAGACCATAGCACGACTCACCTTGCCAGATGACACGTCAGCCGTGCACATTCTCGCATGCACGCGGAGGCGGTACAGTATTGTTCTTGATTCCTGAGGTCAAGTTGCGCTATGCAGCAGATCCGATGAAGCGAGCATTGTGGTCAGTCAGGCCAGTGTCCTTGGTGACATTGAACACATCTCTGATCAAGACCAACAGGACCTGCTTAGCAGGTAGCCCGTTGGGCAGATCTAGGGCGTATTGCTCTCTCGATGCAATTGACCATAATGTGCTGCACGGAGGCGGCCAGAAGACGTATGCGACCATTGATCAGGTTGTATCGCAGAGGTACTCACGGCGGCATGCCGCCCAGCGATCCGCGATTTCTCAACCCGCTGTTGACTTTTCTAACCGTCTTCGCGTCGGATGGTAGGAGACGTCCTCGCTCTGCGGTCTCAAGAGCATGGCGAGTTGCTTCGACAAGGCAGGTTGAGCTCAGGACGTGCCCGGACTCTCACATGGCTGCGGGAACCTCCCTGCTTGCGTATGCCTAGCAACCTGGCGCTCAAATCGTACCCAGACCCCATGGACAGCCTTGTGGTCACCAAACGGGAACACTATGGTAGGATATCACATTGGAAGCAAAGCCGGTCACCGGGCACGCATGGACATGCTGACAGGGAACTCTGCCACTGCGATATGCTCCTCTGCAGGATTGGCTAGGTTGGTCGAAGCCATCGTCTGACGCTAGGCGTGATATCCCCATCTCAAACGAAGCAGCATCGCTGAGTTCGCGACTGACTGAAAATAAATTTTGATACGGATAGGCCCGCCATCACTCGCGGAGAGGCGTGCGAAGACGGACAGGCAAGAAGATGACCCAAAAGGGCACAAGGCGAGCACAGCATGGGAGGTCATTTTAACACGAGGCAAGTCACAATAGACGTTGTGACGATTCTCACGCCAAATAGGGTAAGCGTTTGTGGCCGGATTGATCCAATCGCGTCGGTGTTGCTGATACGCTTCTGTTTGGCTTCAAAGACCCCGCTGGATTGTGAAGCCAAGGTGGAGCAGTCTATCGCAAATTTGCGGGTATCCACTCTGAATACTGATGGATTTGTTATGTCTGGGTCAACGG